GTTGGAGCAAGGAGACCTTGGTTTTGAGACCACCGCGCTTTTGCCTCTTTGCGATAACCGGCTTTCCCGAGTCGTCCGTTTCCAGGGGTCGTTTTAGACCGGCGCCCACTATCTTCGGGAGACTTGTTACCGGTGGTTGCGTCTTCTGCGCCTCCTCCTTTCCGGGTTCTGGCGCTCTGACTGAGGGTACCGGCCTCTCCTCCTCCTCATCGCTAGATTGGCTCGAAGCTTCCTTTCGCTCCTCATATAGCAGCGATTTCACTTCTTCTTCATCCGCCAAGCCGGCCTCACGGGCCCGCAAAACCCGGCTCAGCGCCTCCCTTTTGGTTTCCTTTCCCTGACCAAGAGCACGACTGCTGGAGAATAGAGTCGTGTCGACTTTGGTGCTGGCCAATTTCACAAGTAGCTCCCGATTTTCGTCCTTCTTGAGCTTGTTCTCAATGTACTTCTCCAGCCGCTTGGCTTTTTTGCTGTTGACTTTAACGCCATCTTGGTTCAACTGTGCCCTGAGCTGGGCAGCCTGTTTCTTCACCTCTGACTGCTCGGCCGGGATGATTTCCAGGGCGTTGGGGTCCTGTTGCTCGCCATCGTTTCCTTTACTTTGCGCCTTTTGCCGAGCCAGCACCTTGTGCTTTCTCTGTCGCGGAACGAACTTCTTCGGCATTTTCAAGGTCCGTAAACCAGACTTTCCCCTAGTATGAAGCAGATTTCACTGCTGGTTCGCCTCACGGAGTGAGCTCTTCGAAGAGGAATAAATTCCTTGACCGCCCGGCAGAAAGTGCGGACCCCGAGCCTTGACCAACTACCTTAAGCCTAGCGCGGGGGCGAGCGGCCCCACTCGCTAGCCTGACGCTTTTGGCGCGATCTCCACTTTTTGCGCTCCCAGCCGCCAACCCAACAATAAGGAGCAGCCAACAGACCATCGAGGAAGCGAGACTACCTTATTCAACCTCCTATGTACTTAGCGTAGCTTTCACTTCGCTGCAAGGTCTCCGATACTCATGGCAGAGGTAGACCAAAGGCAGGAGAGCTTCCCGGCCCCTACAAAACGGGTTACCGGCTTGGTCAATGGCGTCGAGACAGAAGTCAGCGCGACCGGCTTCTCGGATAGGATCATGGTCACAATATCCCAAGACGGCCGCCTAGCACAATGGGTTTGTCTTAAGTCCGATCTTCGTGTCTCCTTCACATGCTAAATTGTCCCAGGTTCAAGTACCACTCTCAGCTCCGTCAGCAGCTTCAGTGGATATGTCGCTTCCTGGCGCAGGCTTCAGCTCTCTTCCTGCCAGTCACTTGACACCAACTACCCTCCTCGGCGCTGGAGGCGAGGCTCGTGAGACCGTGGGCCAGCTCTATGCCGCTCAACTTGCCAGCCACTTGACCCTGAGGGACCCTGACGAGAAGAGGACACTCGTCCTCGGTCTGGGGATGAAAAATGTCGACACTGCAAGGGAAGCTTTCTTTGACGTTCTCGAGCTTGTTCAAAAGGTTGTCTGATCGTTCGGCTGCCATCGACGAACCGCTCGGCGTCTCAATCATTACGGAGCAATGGATTGATGACGGGAACATTCGAGCGTCCGGACTCAACGCAGCCGCGATAACTCCGAGCCTAAAATACGATTCGCGCTGCTCAGCTTGACGGTTTACGCTCTATTACAGTGACAGGCACAATTCCAAGTAGCAAAAGCCTACGTCACAATTCGCAGAGCTTTCAATAGGGGCCATTCTCGGAGGATTGCCTGGCGTTCACATTCTCGAGGAACTTAGGAAGATGGCTGTTCTTTGGAGGAATTCTCGATTAGATCACAATGGCCATCGAGACCCCAACAAACGGCCTTGGAGAACAACATCAACACCGCGTCTGGCAGCCTAGGTGATATGATAAGATCCGAAACTTAGCGTCTACGGCGTGTATCAGCAAGCGCGAAATGGAATAGGTGACTTTTGACGCCGTCAACTGGACGTTCCCACAATAGGCCAGTCAGTGCATCGGCCTGAGACAAGTTTCCGTCCAGCACATCCACTTTTTATCACACTACTGCACTGTACTTTGACCCTGAAATCTTGGTTGCATTGGTTGCTGCGAGCTTCTCTCAACACACTCTTCCGCGGCTTGAAGTCGTCTCGTGCGACTTCAGCTGCGCAGTCTTGACACTGCGAGTGCAACTCTCCATAATTCAGTCGATATGGAGGAACATTTTCTATCCCTGGCGCACGCACATACAGTACATAGTATATGCTCCTATTCCCGTGCTCATTCAGGCTGTGTATTCAGCCCTGCCAGTTCCTCTCCAGCTTGCTTCTAAGAATGGGTGTGGCTGCGCTCCTCGGGACCCTCATTTCTACCGGCGGACCCCATCCAATGAGGCATGGTCCTATTTCCCAGCGCATTGACGATCCCACCTTACACAAGACAGGGTCACGATAATTCGGTGCTCAACGTTGAAGGATCGCGGCCCTGGTTGCTGCGCCCGAAAAAAGATCTACATCATGCTTGTCTTTTCGTCCCGGTCGGTGTTAAACTGGACGCATGTGGTTACGGCGTTACAGCGTCGTGCCTTAGTTCTCACGCCTAACGTGCCATAGTCCATCGAAGGATTCGTTATCTTACTGTGAGCAGGGAGTACCATGGGCAAAGTCGCACAACGAGCAGGTAGGCAAGTGGTGTCATGACTTCCGGTCGGGGCTGTCTTCTCGGCTGTGTTTCATAACGTCTTCTCCTCTGTCTTCTCCAATTTATCCCCTTTGCTGTACTGTAGTAGTAGAATTTGATTGCTTCTCCTTCCGCCAGATCGCGGCTACGTGATACTACGTTCGCGATGGAGAACCGCCAGCAGTTCCCTAACTACGACTACAGCACCCTCGAGGTAGCACAGCAACAGCACGGAGATCATAATCAAGCTCCTCCCCAACAGCCGGACTACTCGCAACACGGCTACGCACACGGCGGCTACCCTGAGCAAGCGTACCAGACCGACCCGAGGAAGTACTCACCACAACCATACGAAGGCCACAATCTCCCACAAGTCGTCGACCCAACATATCCAGAGGTAGCACCCAAACCCGAGGGGCCGGAGGTCGTACAGAACGCGCCGAAAGGAGACTATGGAGGCTACGGAGAGCATCAACACAACCAGCATCCAATTGCTCCGCCGGAGGAAAGGAGGATATGGGGCCTGAAGCGGAAAACGTTCTTCATACTGCTTGCAGTTGCACTACTGGTTATAATCGGAGCTGTCGTAGGTGGTGCGGTCGGAGGCACGGTTGGAAAGAATGGCGAGAAGAAGGGAGGCGCTACTGGCCCTGGAAGCGGAGGTGGAAGCGGCGGGGGATCCCCGTCGCCAAATACCACGACGAATAACTCTCCCGTCCTCGGCACTTCGAAGATCAGCGCCATCAACTGGACGGACTCGAGCAACGTGGAATACAACGCCGTCTTCTGGCAAGCAAAGACAAACGATCTCATGATGTCTCTGTGGGACTCGAAGGGCAAGTCTTGGGATCAGGTCAACATCACCGACAAAATGACCGACGTCTCGGTGAGCGTGGCCGCAAAACCAGGAACGCCCCTCGCGGCAGCGGCCCGTGGGTACCCCTGGACGACATCGACCCTCAAAAACGTCGCCGGCGACTTCGGCATCGCCCTCTTCTACCTCACGCCACAGAACAACATCCTGGAGATCTACAGCCAGGACCCCCGCGGCGCGTCCTGGGCGCTGGGCGACCTGACCACATCCTCGACGAACAGCATCAAGACCGCGGCCGACACGCAGCTCAGCGCCTGGTGGGGGCTGTGCGAGCGGAACTGCTCCGGCTCGATCCTGCTCGTCTACGAGGACGACAGCCAGACGCTGCGGCTGGCGAACAGCAGCACCTGGAACACCACGCCCATACTCAGGAACATCGCTTCCGGCGCGAGTCTGTCCATCACGGCGTGCGCTGGCAACCGGGGGAATGACGGCCCCGCGCGGAATGCCGCCCGTGTGTACTATGACTCGTCGAACAAGCTGTCGGAGCTGATGTGGTCGCCGCCCGGGCCGTGGTACTATGGTTCGTTTTTCCCTTCCTTATCATTTTTTTGTCTGTCCTTGACTTTGCACAGAAACTAATTTGCCCATCTAGGTTCCGATCTTGCCACGGGCATCCCCCCGACCCCTCCCCAAATAGCAGCGACAAGCTTCAACCACGCAGCAGACCTGGAGGCCGGACCCATAAACCTCCTCGTCGTCGGCAGCCAGGCCAACGGGACCGCCTTCGCGGCCTACTGGGACAACAGCACGTGGCACAACGCCAGCACCCCCCTGCTGCAGGGCAAGGTGCTGACCAACTTCACCTCGGTGTCGGTCTTCCAGAGCCAGGAGATCAAGTTCTTCGGCCTGACCAACGACAGCGAGATACACTCGTACGTGATCGACCGCAAGAACCCGCTGTCCTGGACGCACGATCAGGCGGTCATAACTGGCTGAGGCGCGACGAGAGCCGGAGGAGGAGGATGAGGAGGAGGCGGAGTGAGAACTGGCAAAAAGAAGAAAAAGAAGGACGAGGAAATGTTCCTAGAAGGTCCTGCCCGGATTCGAACCGGGGTTACCGGAAGTTCCGAAGTCAGAATCCGATGTGATAACCAGCTACACTACAGAACCAGTGGGAGGGGATGCATGTCGACGCTAAGGGGCCAGGGTTTATATAGGGCATTGGTGTTAAGCGGGCGGGCGTTCGTTTCTGGGAGATTCCCCCACTGTTTATAGTAGTTTTTTGGCTGTTACATAATAGTTCGATTATTTTTCTCTTCACTAAACATATTGCCTTAACGTTGACTTCTATGTGTACATTGCCTCGTGTCATAGCTTAGACTTAGAATTCGTCCTTCTTACTGCCCAAATGCTGGTTTGACACAGACAAGTCCTAGCTCGGCAGCTAACAATGCCTGCAAAAAGACCAAAAACGAAACCATGCTGGCGGACGCCGCGAGTCATACCGCCCCATGCATGCAGCAAAAATACTGATCTTGGCAGGGGTCGAACCTGCAACCTCCTGATTCGTAGTCAGACGCTCTGCCATTGAGCCACAAGACCTGTGGAGAAGAGACGGTAGGATGTGTCTTTTCGGTGAGTGGAGGGGATGGTGTCGTGGGTTTATGTACGGCACGTTGAGTGCGGGAGAAAACGGTGCATAAGCCCCTTCAAGGCAGAGCATGCAGCTGTGGTCGTCTATAGAGATGCTGGCCAAAGCAAACAGACTCCCGACATGGGTGCCGCCTCTTTCTAGAGAGTTTTGGAGACTGCAGAGTCCGCAGGCACCATGCCTGTAGTGAACACTAACAGGTGTCCTGGTGTTGAAACAACCGAATAGCATATGTCTCCAAATTTGTCCGAAATCTTGCAATGAATGTCAAATATCACCTCGGTCGGGCCGGTATATCCACCTCCTCGTCACTGTCGTCCATAAATCCTTCTTCGAGACTGTACGAGCATGTTAGCAGCTCTTCATCCAAATTCGAGCGTGCACGACACCGAGGCAGGGTATATATATAGAGTACTCACTCCCTACTCAACCTGCGCACATCATCTCTCCCACCCCGACCATCCCTCCCGGCCTCTCGCCTCCCCGTGTCGACATGTCCTAGCTCCTCCCCTTCCTCAAAGTCCAGCCCCTCCTCGTCGTCCTCCGCACTGACCACATCCGTTCTCCGCCGCCAGGTCGAGGGCACGAGATATCGCGCGGCGGCGCTCTGTATCCTGGCACGGATGCTCGATGTGCGGGAGGATATGCTGTCGAGCGACGGCGCGAGGGGGATGGGGTTGTAGCTGTAGCGGGTGCGGTAGCGTTGCCACAGAGGGAGGATCAGGTAGGTTGAGACGAGGTAGAGGATTAGGGATATCAGGGCGGGTATTACTAGGGTCTGGAGACAGACGAATGGTTAGTATGGTGGATGCATGGGGTGGGTGAGGTGCAAAGGAGAAAAGAGAGAGGTACCTTTGCGACAGAGAAGGTGTTGCCCATTTTGTGTTGGAGAGTCGATGCTGGGCGAAGCGTCTCTCCTCTAAGGTTGACTGCGGTGACAAGTTCACTTAAATGGAAACTGGATGCTGCAACAGGCAATGCGTCAATCCGCTGATTTCAGGAAATTGAGGTGTCACTGTTCGCCCAACGTAGCCTGTATGCAAGCCGACGTTGGCGACGCGGCTCGGTGACGAAACGTGGCTCGGGCTGACCCGGGCTCAGAATGGAACCCCGGATCCGGCGCATTTGGTTACCACGTAGGTACGTACTGTAGCTGGAGGACGACCCAGACTTGAACCCTAACCCTGACGCTCACGCAACTGGTAAAGAGAAAGGATACCATGTTGGGCTCCTCCAAAAATTAGATGTTATTCTTATGTTGGGGGATCGTTTCAGTCCGTTCGATTCTCGTTGTTTCTCAAAGGCATACGAACGTAGAGCTCGAACGGGGTTGTTCCTTCGGCTATGCTGCCTTCATGCTCTCCTCCCATCGTCGCCGTGAGCATCATCTCCATCTCTCTCCCACACCCGGACGATCCGCCGCACCTCGTCCTGATCAACCTCCTCACTGCTCCCAGGATCGCTCAAACAGCTCGAGTGATATACTACCCTCGTCCCACCGCCAACTGCTCTCAGCACCTCGTAGATATCTCCCACATTTCCACCCCTAACACCCCCACCAACGACAACCTCCAACCCTCCAGCCCGCTCGACAATCCTCTTCACCACGGCCAGATTGTCCCTCGCATTGCCCACTCCCCCAGAAGTCAACAGGCCCTTGAACCCAAGTAATCTCACAAGCCTGACCTTCTTCTCCACCTCCGGCCCGCCCTCAGAGCCGATAGCCTCGTCAAATGCCCTGTGGAAGACGACAGGGAAGGGCCGAGCCCAGGTCAGGACACTCTTGCAGAGATCGGTGTCAATCGACCAGCCTTCCCCTTCGAGACGCGGTTTCAGCGCGCCAAAGACGAAACCGTCCCCTCTCTCCTGCCTTAGTAGATCCTTAAGCTCCGCGATGGAGGTCTGTATCTGCGACTTTTCCTGGTCGGAGTAGAAGAAATCACCTCCGCGCGGACGGATCATGACCCGCAGCGGTATGGAGACGGGTAGGCTGTCCAGGTCGGAGGAAATCTGGCGCACCAGGTCGGGGGAGGGGGTGGTGCCGCCCGCGGCGTAGGAGCCGGAGGCGTTGAGCTCGATGCGGCGGGCGCCGGCGTTGATGGCTGGTAGGAGGGAGGAGCGATTGAAGAGGGGGATTTCCAGTAATGGTTTAGAGGGTGACGGCGGTAATTGAGGATTCTGTATGCAGTTTGGACGGGACGAGGTTTTATCCATTTTGCCTTTCAAGTCGTGATATTGTGAAGTTCGTGGTGTTGATGGGAGTCAGTGAAGATTTAATTAACTTGAGGTTTAATAAGTAACTGCATTTCAGGTAAGATAGCCACTCTCTTGTTATTTCCCTACCTTTGAGGTTACGTCAACTCTCAACTCTGGATTTGTTCACTCAGCGCTTTCAAGGTCACATCCATCACAATCACAATCACAGCTTTTGGTCAGAAGGCACGGAAGAAAGCACTTTCGATGAAGTTGATTTGCATCTTTCAGTCTGGGTAGGTATCCACAGAACTGTTTCTCTTCATCATCATTCATCTACTCTATCGCACCAGAAAGACCACATCCATGACGGCAGTCGTCCATCATGTGCCCCGACCAGAGTACGCTGTTGGTCTGTTTCGTCCGAGAAACGGACAAACCCATAGCCGCCGGGACGACCGGCGGTGGGCCCACCGGCTTGTCCATGAGCACCGTACTGGTGTGAGCTAGATATCAAAGTCAGCTTCAAGTTCAGCCCAAAAAAGATGGCAACAACACACAAGTGGGACATACCGGGTCTTGGGGGTCGCTGGCCCCGGCCGCTAACCGCGTCAGTCATTATCTTAGCTGACTTGCAGCCAGCGAAGCGGCCCTGGGCCCCCTCCCCTTCCAAAAAGAAGAAAAGAACCTAATCCCCCCCCTCTCTCCAGCTAGGTGCCTTCCTCAGGCGTGGTGGTGGCCCCCCTCGTCTTCCTCGTCCTCCCCCTCCTCTTCATCATATGTGGTCCGGCCTCCGCGACCACCGACCCTGCTCCGGGCGTGGGACATCGGAAACTGTCCCCGCGCCGTAGGCAATGGCGTCCTGGCGGTGCTTGGCCCGGCTCCCCATCGCGGCAGACCTGACAGGCCCGCGGGGGGCGGGCGGCTAGAGTAAGGCCCCCCGCGGCCGGCAGAGCTGAAAGCCTGTTGCTGGGGATAAGCGGCCGGCGACGGTGTGTGGCCCCCCACAAACAACGACGACAGTGGTGCCTCCTGCTGGTGCTGGCCCGAGGCGTGCTGCGGGTTGCGCCAGAGGCTGGCCGCGCCGGGGAGGTGGTCGATCTCCGACCGGCCCATCGGGGTCGACGGTGCCCGGAAGGAGGAGAGTTGTCGAGCCACCTCGTCGCGGACCAGGGCCTGGATGCTGCCCATCTGCCGGCGCACCTCGGTCTGGATCAGGAGGTGGATGTCCCCCGTCACCAGGTCGTTTATCTCCAGCATCCGCTGCTCCACCGCATCCCGGACGAGGGTCTCCACCTCCGGACGGGTGACGGGCACCTGGCGCGGCTGGAAGGGGTTGTCGTTGGCGTCGATGAAGGTGCTGGGGTTGGCACGGTGGCCGAACCCGCCAGAGAAATTGTTGTTGCCGCTGGGGCCGGAAGGGAAAAGTTGGCGGCGTGTGTTGCCACCGTAGGAGCCTGGCCGACCGGGCGGTGTCTTTGTGGGCGGCGTCCCCCGCAGCAGATGTCGGATCGAGGGGAGTTCAGTGCTGGGTCCCCCGGCCGGAGCCAGGGTTCCCTTGGCCTCCCCCTCCTCGTCGTCGTCTGTCGTGTCGATCTTGACTGTCTGGCGTGGCCGAGTGATGGTGGCCGCACCGCCAGTCGATGGAGTTTGGGCGGTTGTGCCCGCGCTGGACACCACTGGACAAAGAGTTAGCGTCGCTGCGGGCAAGGGCGATGTGATGGTCCACATGAGAAGACTTACGCTTCCGCTTCTTTCTTTTCGGAGCCGCCTCCTCATCATCCTCGTCCTCGCCGTCCGGAAGGAGGGTCTTCCCCAGGCGTCCTGCCAGTGAGAGTCAGTCAACGACCAGCACTGTTAGACAAAAGGACATGAAGATTGACTTACGCTGCCGCTTGGCCCAGCGAACACCACCCTCTTCCTGCTTCATCTCGGCCAGGTATGCCTCGACATAGACCTGGGCAAACTTGCTTATGCGGTCTTGCATAACGTTCTTGTCCCAGTGCTCAGCTACAGCGAGACAAAGTACGTCAATTAGCAATCTGGAGAGCGCAAAGAAATAGGAAAGAAGGACTGGGGCGATAGACTTACCCAACGTGAGCGCGGTATACTCTCGAAGTGGCTTCTCGCCAGTCTTTGCTCTCTCGGCCGTCATGGCCTCCAACATCTCTTTGGCGAGGGTCTCCCAGGTCTTCACCTCCGCCTTCTGTGTCTTCTGGTCATGTCCGATGCGCTTGTCGGAGAACGGGATCACCTTTGTCCAGAAGTACTCCTCTTCTGGAGCTGTCCAGAGCGGGCCGCCCATTGTGCTGGAAGAGGTGGAGGAAGAGATAATAGGTGGTGGAGGAAGAGGAAGTAGGTGGTGGAGGAGGATAAAATAGGTCTTTGTCGTGTCGACAAGAAGAGGTTCGAGACGATAGTAGTCTCTCTGGTTTGGAAAAGAGGAGGTGTTGCAAAGGAAGCTCGAGGCTTTGAAGGATAGAGAACTTGATGCTATCGAGAAGATATTCTTCGAGATAGGTAGATGTGTTTGAGCAGTGAGCTTGCAGTTGTCAAGGAAGATCGAAGGCAAGGAAGAGCTTGGTTGAGAGATCTGGAGAAGAAAGGAAGTGGAAAGGAAGAGGCCTGGCTGGGGGGAAGGGAAGTCAAGATATAGGTGGAAGAAAGGTTGCAAGTGAATTAACGAACTGAATCCTTGCTTGCTGCAGGACAATTCCTTGCCAGCCATGAAATGATGGCTACAATATCTGGTCAAAAT